TTCTCTATATTGAATGTGGGTTGATATCAGCCAGAATTGTAACAGTAATTATAATGCATAGCAAAAGACACACCACTCGACACAATACACTTAAGAATCAGTTGTACTGAGTTCTGTCCCGTGTACATGACCCCAAATTGACCAGCTCATGTCTCAGTCCTTCAGGGTCTTATGTGGATGGTGAAGTTCTCTACTAGGAGTCAAAGAGTAGTAGGTGGAGACCCCAACACAGCACCATGAAAGACAAATGTTATGATCTGTTCCAAAAATATACAGCCTTGTAAACCACAGAGAGCAATTTTACTCTACAAACATGGGGTCCACATGAGTTAGAATTGGCTCTACAGCGATGAGCACTGTACAGTGATTTTATACATCCATATATATATATGAAAATAACTCAGAATATTCATATGAACACATTAAACAAAAATGTGAGATGTGAAACTTGTTTGTCAGCATAGTCTGTGTGTGGATCTCCACGCATTTCTAGAGGAAATGTTTCCATCACTCTAGCCCTCATTTTGAGTCAATTGACTCAATGGCCCTGAGAACCCTTCCCAAAGAAACCAGCCCTCTTTACTTTATACCGCATCTGTGGCTTCTGATAACTAGCAGAATGATAGTTTCTATACCCTAAAGAGTCCCTATTTGTGATGAATATACATATATATGTATACATCTCCTCACTGTAACTTACCTCATGGTAGCTTGTTTTTTTTTAAAACCAATGCATTTTCAATTTTCTTAAAATTTGTTCCTAATAAATCCCTATGGTCCTTGCATCCTTTAATAAAAATGTGCAAGATTCCTCATTTGAAATTCCAGAAAAATAGTCCAAAGCACTTTCTGAGTGGACCTCTCCATCTTGAATTTAACTGACCTACTAAAAGTCACTGTTTTTTGCTGGACCTTCCCCTCCCACCACACCCCCAAGGCACCCTAAAAGAATGAAACAGTGTCTTGCGGAGAAAACTTGTCTGTAGCCATCTGTTGATCATGGAGACATAAACATTTTTGGTTTGGAACAAACCTATTCATGTATACATTTGAACTATAGTAGTAATGCTCTTTGACTCACCCTTGTATGCAGCCAAAGTTCACTTCTAGCAACCCATCCAGTCACTGGCTGCTGGAGAAAAGGCATTCTGACATCCAAACACCTCCATACTGAATCATTTGCCTTCTAGATCATTGAATGTGCAAGCCACTTGATCATTTATTTGAAAAGTATTTCTGCATATTTTAGTTCTAGGCAGTTGGGATGCCAAAATATTTTTTTAAGGGTAAGATTTCTGCCTTAATGAAGTATGCATTCTGTGATAGATTTGAGATGTAAATCAGTAATAGCCTACAGTTTTAATAGCATTGTTTTATTTTTATTACACAGCAAGTCATTATTATTCATTCTTACTCACTCACTGCCATTGGGTCCGTCCTGACCCGTAGCAACCCGTTTTATAGATGAGGGACCTCAATTGGAAAGTTCCTGAGTCACGACTCTATAACTTTTGTCCTTCACTTTCACATTGCACACATACTATATCAGGCCCATGGATTCTCCCTTATCATAAAATATTCCTGTCTCCATACTGATACCATTAAGAGACTAAAGCAGTCTATTGCTTGTACACAGTAGCACGTTTTCCAATAGGTCCGAGGCTTGTTTTTCCCGGTTGCCATGAATAGCCTCATAGAACCCAATGCTAGGGAAAGATGGTGGAAGCACAAGTGATTTGAAGGGAATGATGCATGGGGATTGGACAAAACAAGCTAAAACGTATCTTTCCCTAGGATCATCTCAGAGCTGCCGGCAGCCTCTCACATGCTATACTTCAACCCTACTAATTTCTTATGTGGTTATTGGTCTTTCAGAGCCTTGCCACTGGTCCACAAAGTTGTGGCACCCTACCTGGGCAGCCCTTCATGATGGCCTCACCTCATAGATTATAGCTGAAAGGAGCTTCTGTGGCTTCTCAAAGGGTGTCTCTCCGAGGATGCTCACCCTTGGCACCTAGATACTATGCTGGAAGGAAGCTAAGGCCACACGAACATGTCCAATGACAAACACTGAGGCGCCCAGTCCTTAGCCCACATGAAGTACAGTTAACAGTCATTACCAATTTGTGAGATAGGCGTGTGAACCGTCTTGGAAGAATTCCTTCAGTTCTAGTTGCACTTGATACCCTCACACGTCCCCCCTTTACCAGATATATAGGGAAGAGATACAATTGCATATGCATAAGAACAATATGTGGTAAAATTGATTCAGGCCACTCTGTTTGGGGTCCATTGTTAGGCAGGGATAGATCGCCAATACATGTCACTATTCTCGCACACTTACACTGCCTCCTGTCTGGGCTTTAAGTCCATGTTTTCTTGATTTCCATGCTCCACTCTTCCCATTCATCCTTAGATATCACTGTATATATGGGGAGGCTTATCAATTATTTTCAACTTGAACTCAGTCTTCTCCTTTAAGGTCCCTTACACTTTTTGTAGAATGTATGTTCAAAGGAAACTCACTGCCAGCGAGTCCACTTTGAGTCACAGTGACCCAGTAGGACAGGACAGAGCTGTCTCTCTGGTTCTCTGAGGCTGTAAATCTGTATGGAAGGAGTGAGCCTTGTTTTTGTCCTGTAGAATAACTGGTGGATTTGAACTGCTGCAGGGCTGCTGTCTAACATGATGCACTGCGTTTATTTCCCCTTGCCACAACTTAAGAGGGAACACCTTGAAACGTGGAACTGTGTTTTAATTGTATCTGCTGCAGCCAGCACAGTGCCTGACACAGGGAGAGCACTTAATAAACATTTGTCAAGGTAATGAGCCATGCAGGTCCCAGAGGTATAGGTATAGTCCAATAGCCATATGAAGGAAATATAAATTTTATTTCCCACTAAGCTTAATATTTAGTCAAAAGTAGACCCATGTCACCAAACCCTAAGGCAAACTTGGGCTAGATTAGCAAAAGTAGTATAAAGAATAAGGGGCGTAATAATTTTTCAAGGCATTGTTCTGAATGTTGGGTATCTAAAAGTTTGTTCATTCTCTGCTACCGATTTTGAACATATTCTCTCTTTTTATTTTAAAAAATAAAAGCATAGCTTAAAGAATGCTTAAATGAGAAGAGGTTGTTTTACCCTGAAAAGAAAACATCCAAGGGTGATTAGCTGCATCTTAAAAATCAATGTACAGTTATGCTTCAGCTGAAGAGTCCAGTTTGGATCGTTGGCTTCTGTGGCCTTCCCATGACCGATGGCATTCTTGGAAATAATATTCCAAGACTCTTGCTCCCCAAACCCAACTCACTGCCATCAAGTCACTTCTGACTTCAGTAGAACTGCCCTGGGGCTGTCCGAAATTATACATCTTTACAGAAGTAGAAAGCCTTGTCATCCGCCCGTGGAGGAGGAGATGGTTTCCATCTGCCGAACTTGTAGCTCACAGCCCAACACATAACCGTTATACTATTGAGGCAGTCTCTAGCGAGACTCAAACTTATCTGCATGAGGAGTTGTGGTTCTTTGTTTTTTTGCGGTTTGTTTTCCTCTGGTTGCTCCTGGGTGTACGACACTCTCATGTCCAACAGAACCAAAAGATGCACCGGCCTGTGCCCTCCTCGCCGTGTGTAAGTCGGATGCAGCTCACCTTCCAGCATTCCTGGTCATTCACAGGGTCCAGTTCGTTCATCTTTGTAGATTGTTAAATGGTCTTTCATTGTCCCATAGTCCAGAAGCTCCACTAAAGCTGTCCATCCTGGGTGACTGTGCTTGACTTTGAAATACTAATGTCATCGATTCCAGCATCATGACAGCGTGCACCACCAGAGCAGGACAAACTGCCCATCAGGGAGTAGACATCACGAATGCATGATGTAAGATATAAAAAGTGTATAGCCTCAGTGAACACTGAAAAGCTTTCAAATTAAAAAAGTGTGTACCTGTGGTGGTGGTAAAGAGGTCTGCTTGTTTTTCATGTTATTTGCTGATTGTTTTGAGACTTCCTGGCACTGCAGAGACAGGAATGAGCTCCCGCGATGGGTCTGATTCTGCACTGAAGTTGGAGAGAAGTTGTCCCTCTATCCTTGAGAACTTTCAGACTGAATAGGTCAGGAACATTGGCCCTTGGCAGGACTCGACCAGGGTGCTAAGCATTACATTATCATCTATAATCCCTCATTACATGCTAAGTATGATGACTGCTTATTCAAAAGCAATTAGGCACACTATATAGATCAAACCAGCATTTCCTATAAAGCTGGCATCGCGACAACTCTCATTAGTAGAGATACTTTGAGATCTTGCAAACTAACAGAATGAAGGGGTAAGAGAATTAATGTTGATGAAATGCCGTCTCTGGCTCAGGGACCATAATTGTACTTTTAACTCTCACAAGTCCTGTGATGTTCACTAGTAGTGTTTGCCCTCTTCCGTTGAAAGAATGAGGCTCACAGAGGTGAAGTGACACATCTTGGAGAAGAAAGCCATTTGTGCTGGCGGTGTGACTGGAGAAAAGATCTACCTGACTTCATAACCTCTATTCTAGGCATGGATGCCCCCTGCTAGGCATGGATGCCAGTGAGAACAGGCGGCTCTGTGCGCGACGGAACACATAGGGAAGTGTGCACGCACAGGAGCGCATCTCAAGATAGAAGAGTAAAATCCAAAATCAAACCTCCGTGAATTCCAAGAAGTCAATTCCAACTCCTGAGGACCCACGCGGTCCAGAGTCAAACTGTTCCAACAGGTGTTCTTGGCTGTGAACATCCCCACAGCAGACCACCTGGCATCCTTCTTATGGTGCCATTGGGCAGTTTCAAATCGCCAACTTTATGGTTAGTAGCTGATTATCAACTGCTTTCGCCGTCTATAAATGAGGCAGATAGGATAATTTAAGAAATGGAAAGGGAAGTTTTTCTAAAGGGTCAAAGTTGAGCCTTTTCTATAAAGTAAGTTTTTCTTGGGAGTTATGGTGAATTTTTGCATTCAACAATTTAAACAATTATGGAGTGCTTCCTGACTTTGCCTGTGATTCTTGTGCAGCGCTCATGCTAATCTTTTCTGTCTCTTTCCGATTTGATATACGAGCTGCTGAAGTGAGCACAAAAGTGGGCGGTCTTTTTTAACTGAAGTCTGATTGGAGAGAAGAAAAGTCAGCCTTTGTCTGTGCATCCTCTTCCAGCCTTCACCTGCTTTCCCTCACTTTACCCCGCCCGGCCTCCTCCAGAACTGGGCTGGCAATAGCACTGTGAGTGGGCGATTCCTGTCTGCCTTTCCAGGTAGCTTGCTTTAGATATTAGACCTGGGGTCAGAGCTCTGAAGATTGTTTAAAAATGTATTATGCGGTGCTGCAGATATAAAAATAGATAGAGGTGATGAATAATAAAATAAACACCCATGTTCCACCACTCTCTTAAAAATAGTACAGCCTTACTATCATTTTGGAAGCCTCTGTTTCCTTCCCTGGTGGCATTTCTTACCCTCCCCTTGCAGGAAACCCCAGCTCTGGATTTGCTATTGACAAGACCCATGCCTGTTTGAACATGATTGCATGTGTAATATGTGTATGCATACATGCATATCAACAATTGATGCCCATAGAAGCAGCAGTTGAGAAAGTAAATGACATAATGCACTGGACAAAGCTGTGAAAGACCTCTTTAAAACCTTAAAAAGCAAAAAACTCACTTTTATGAGTAAGGTGCCTCTTATCCAAGGCATAGTGTTTTCAATCGCTTCATATGCAGGTGAAAGGTAGACAATGCAGAAGGAGACCAAAGACGCACTGACAAACTTGAAGTGTGGTATCGGCAAAGAATATTTAATATGGCATGTCCTGCTGGAAGAGCAAACAATACTGTTTGGGAGGAAGTACAGCCCAAATGCTCTTTTTAAGTGCGGATGGCAAGATTTCATCTGGCTTAGTTTAGAACTGGGGGTCCTCAAACTACGGCCCGTGGGCTACATGCGGCCCACTGAGGACATTTTTCTGGCCTGCCAGGTGTTTTTGCCTTGTTTTGTTTTTCAATAAGATATGTGCTGTGTGCATAGGAATTTCTTCATCTTTTTTTTTTAAAGTATAGTCTGGCCCTCCAACGGGTGTGAGGGACAGTGAACTGGCCCCCTGTTTAAAAAGTTTGAGGACCCCTGGTTCAGAGAGGTCATCAGTGGAGAGCCGCCTCTGGAGAACAGCACGCATGGTCGAGCACAGAGTCAATGGTAAAGAGGAAGACGGTCCAGGAGACGGATTGCCACAGTGGCTGCGTGCACAAGCTCAAACCTAGCATGGCTGTGGGAGGGCATCGGACTCCGCAGCATGTAGCTGTTCTGTTGTGCACAGGGCTGCCGGGAGTTGGAAATGACTGGGTGGCATGTAGGGGTGACGAGCACAGATGCAGTTGGTACCGTGAAACGTGCTGGGGTTTTGTATCACCCCCTTAGAGATTGCTCTAAAAGCTGAGGGAGGAAACCAGAGGAACCCTTGCTTTGTACCAAGAATGATGCTCTATGCTATATTTACCGTGGTGGTGCTTAATCTATACTTATTAGGCTATAAGACAGGAAGCCTTAACCCCATTAAGAACTGAGAAAACTAATACACAATGCTCTGCTCCTGACATCGGTCAGTGGTGGAGCTGGGATATGACACATGCGGTTCTATTACCTCTTGTTACTGCTGGCATCACATTCTAAGAGAAGGAAAGGGAAACCCAACGGAATAAGTCTGATTCTCTCCTTAGAATCCGGGGCAGCAGCAAAATACATCCCTGGGCCCACTGGGCCCTCTCAGGCCTGGTATATTTATAGAGTGTCCTTTCTGGCCCAACACGGTGTAAGATGCTCATGGAGACAGTCACCTGTATCCCTGTCCCATCAGCATCACTGAGTAAGGTGATGCAGCGATGCAGGAGAGAACCTGAACTCCGTGTAGGACTCTGCCATTCACAAAGGCCGTTCATGGGAAATGCCATTGCATTCCATTTGCATGCATGCTTTATCTGTCCTACGAAGCCGCTCTCTCTTGTGAACTGTGTGTGATTCAACTTTGCACCTCTTCCTGTTCACCTCCACTGTTCGTTCCAACGGACAGAATGAACAAAGAACACTGCAAATCGTTTTTTATGTAAAAAAAATTCCAACTTTCGATGCTAGTCACAGCAACGCTATAGGGCAGGCAGAGCTGCCCATGTGAGGCTCCAAAGCTGTGACCTGTTCTGGCAGAGAGCCCCTCCTCCTCCTCTGGAGCACTGGTGCTCTCCGATTGCTGTCTTTGCAGTTAGCAGCCCCATGAGAACCCTCTAGGCCAGCAGAACTCCATTTACAAACAATAGGTTGCTCAAAATCTGGCTTAGATGAGTTTTAGAAATAGCAAGTAAATAAAGCTTCGTGGAATTTTATAAGTTGCCTCCTCCTATATCAGTGCTGGCTCTGGGCTCAGGGTTATATTAACTTAAATGTAAGCTTCGTCAAGTACCTACAAGACCTTCTGAAGCTTCTTTGGGGATAAGCAATGACCCAAATCCATCCAAGCGAGCCCTACTCTGTGGTCAGGGGATGACGGGTTTCCATCTTTCCAGGTTTCATCGTAGAGTTAGTTTGCTGCCCTGACTTTAATTTCTTCCTTTACCCATCACCTATGTCCTCCCTAGCCTCCTTTGATCAGTGAAGCTTAAGGCAACTCTAATGAGTGTAAGCCTGCCCATCGACAGCTTTGACTTTGGCCCTGGCAGCCTTAACTGCAGAACCTGTGAGGTCCCTGAGCTGGGGCTTTCCATCCAACTGACTCCTGCAGGTCTACGTAGTGAGCAACTTGGGATTTAATAGTATTCAATAGTCAAAGATAGAATTTATAATATTCCAACCAACAATTCCTATAACCCCATTTCAAAGGGCTTAGATGTGTGATTTTTCTCTAGATTTTCTCAGGTGCCTCTATGTAAAAGGAAAGAGGATGGCAAACATAAATTGGGTGCAAGAGTGTGCAGAAAGCACCATGGAAGTCCATCCACCAGGGGAATTGCACGAACTGCCATGCACAGGGCAGAGACGGAAGCTTATCTTTGAGCTTGTTTTTGATAATTGGTTGACACTTGCAGAAAGTGGGAGAAGGTCTGATGAGTTAAAGGAAACAACAGGAATTCTTTTTCAAGTTTGGATAAAACAGAGCACCGCCATTTGATCACGTCTGAGTCAGTGAACCTGTCAGACAGTGACATTGCTTGTCAGGATTGCCAGGGCTACAAATGTGGGCCGGAGCAGGCAGCCTTCTCTCCGTCCCTCAGAGCAGTGTGTGTGCAGTGGGGGAGAATGTTGAATGGCTGACCTTGCCATAGTAACCCTGTGCTTAGTCCACGGTGTCACCAGGACTGTTTACAGTAGGTAGCAAAAAAAAACACCACAAAAATCCATCATATAAATTCTGATTCATCACAACCCTATCTGCCCCAAGACTTGAAACACCAAGAGAAGGCATGCATGCTTCGAATGATGATCCCTTCAAATATTCAATAAGAACCTATGAGTGCCAGCCACTGCTTGAGAAAAGAGTAACACACAGATAATAGAGAGCTAATCGTGACCAATGTAAAGCCCACGAAAAACCCTGGATGCAGGTTTCCACGGCTGCAAATCTTTCTGGAAGCGCACCGTCTCATCTTTCTCCCTCGGGAAACAGGATAAGCTCCACTGCCATTGGGCCCATCTCAACTCCTCCCTCCAAAGGATGGGAAAAACCGCTCCTGTGGGATTCTGCCGCTGAGAATCTTCTCTTTTTTCCTTAAAGAGGAAGAACACTTTATTTTCCATCTTCAAGCAAGAGCATCATAAGGATCAGTACTATAATTGACAATTAGGGCGGCATGCACGGACGGCCCCAGGTTGTGAAGCTGTACGTCTCTGCAGGGGCAGAGGACCATCTTCTCCTGTGGATTAACTGCTGCTTTCCCACGCTGACCCTCGGCCTAGTCACCCACTTTGGGAACAAGGCTCCCTAGAAAGTGAAGTTGATAGGTGTTATACAAGGACTTGTGTCCATCCTAAAAGTGATGCCGAAGGATGAACCCAGGTACCTATTAATGGGGCCCTGTTTGAGAATAGGAGTTTCCTTTCATGTTGACAGTTTGCCCATAACAGAGTGAGGTGGGTCCTAAACCTAATCGCATCTGCGTGTTGCCCTATAGAAAGAGTAGAATCAACGCAAATCTTTGCACATGGTGGAAACGTGCTCTGGGAAGGCGAATAAATATGACAAATGCATACAGAAGCTCAGGAATGCCGAGGAAGCAAAAATGAACGAGGAAGGCCCTCCCCTAGAGCTATACCTGGGTTTCAGATTCCTAATCTCTGGGACTATGAGAAAATTAACTTCTTTTTAAAAGTTACCCGCTTTTGGTATTGTTATTGTTACGGTTGTGGATCGACAGCCCTAAGAATCTAATACAACAGCAAGTAAACAATTATTAGGCCATAGGCTACATGCTGAGATGAAGGGATATGGCAGAGGTTCTCCACCTTCCTCATGCTGCGACCCTTTCAGACAGGTCCTCAGGTTGTGGTGAACCCCAACCATCAAATTATTTTTGTTGCTACATCATCACTGTCATTTTGCTACTGTTATGAATCGGGCAACCCCTGTGAAAGGGTTGTTCACCCCCCAAAGGGGTCGCAACCCACACATTGAGAACTGCTGGGCTACGGGAAACAAATAAAAACCTCACTCTGGGGCTAAGTAGGGAATTATATATGTCTCCCAAGTTGGCAGGAGAAATAGGCAAAGGTCAGGAACTCCTACGGCAGGCTTCCTTGCCTCTGAGCAGTCATTCTAGGTAGAGGGCACTCAGGAGCATGCAGAGCCCAGGTCAGAGCATGTGTGGGAGACAATTTTGTAGGGCCAGATGACACAAGTCCTATAGGATCTTTTCTCCCCAGCTTCCTTCTTTTCTGCATGTTTGTGTTTATTTAGCTGATATTTATTTAATTGGCAATATTGTTTCCCAAAGGTTATTCAACCAGAAAATTCATTAAACGCTATTACAATAACCACATGAATTAATAATCTCCCATTGTTCTGCCTTAAAAACAATGTGAAGCTTCATCTGTGCATAT